AAAAACTAATTTTACAAAATTATTAATTATATCTATTAAGACTTATGTTTATAAATAGTAATAAATTCAATAAATTATCAGAATATCTTATGAAATAATCATGCAGTTTTTTGTTAAGTTAGGTTTCAGTTAAGTAATTAAAATCAATCTTTATTTTAATCTCTTCATTTAGCTTACTGTTCTCTGTTTGTATTATTAATTTAATGTAGTATCATTTAACATTAAATCTCTATAAATGCTAATTAACATCAGTTTTTTTATAAGGAGATCTCAATAAATATACCCTACATTTCCTTAAAATGGAATACTTTTGAAAAGCATGTTATTATCTATCTTAAAAAATCAAGATAATGAAGAAAACAAAAAAAGATTAAATAAAAAAATTAGGAATAAGTATTTAAATAATAATTGTAATTGTTGTTAATGAAAAATAATTATCACTTTTAATTAAGGTCTTCCAAAATGCAACTTCCTAAGGATTTGAATAATGATCTTAGATCGTATCCCTCATAATTAATAAATTCTCCTTTCAAAATTAATGCTCCTTGCGCTTGGAATAGTGGTGTTTAAGATATTCTTAGAATTGTAATATTGTTGGATTCTAAAAGGTAATAAAAAATGAAATACCTGGCAGAGGATTATTTGAAAATAGTGGTGCTTTGAATTTAGCAAGAATATCTTTATATTTTTTGTCAGCAGATTAAATTTCTTTTCCATTTTACACATCCCATAGACGGATAGAATTATCATCACTACCAGGCGCAGGGCAACCTATTTACTTTTCCCCAACTCTGGGAAGGGAGGACCATGAAGAATCCCCTGACGTGTTGGGCGCTGTTTTTGTCCACTCTGAGGAGCTGTGATTGCCCAATTGTTCTTGCTAGTCTTGTTCTGCCTATTGCTTGGTGATTGCCCAATTGTTCTTGCTAGTCTTGTTCTGCCTATTGCCGGACGAGCCTGGATCCTGGCTTAGAATTACCGGCAGAGATACCCATGAAGAATCCC